ATCTTTCGGTAGAAAATTGGGAACAAGTATTACCACAAGCCTTACATTCAATTCGATCATTACTTTGTACAACCATAAATTGCACTCCACATGAAAGAATGTTTAGACACCCTCGAAGATCTACTAACGGCACTTCTGTTCCATCGTGGCTTACAAATTCTGGACAAGTCTTGATGAAGAAATTTAATCGTACAAATAAATATCAGCCATTAGTAGAAGAGGTTGAATTGATACAGAGCAATCCTGACTTTTCATACATTCGGCTTCCAGATGGCCGAGAAACAACAGTGTCGAATCGTCATCTAGCACCATTGGGTTCAGAAAGGGTAGATCTGCGAATAGATAATGAACACACTATTAATTATCATAACGTCGCAGAACCACTTCCGGAAACAGAAGACCAAAACTTGGAGATTCCTTCATCTAATGAAACGGGACCTGTGGTACTTGATAATAGCAGAGAGCTAGAGACAGAATTACCATCATCACCACCGCCGGAGCCAACACTTCGTAGATCTGGTCGCGTCCATAAAACGCCAGGATTTTTGAAAGATTATATTTTAAAATAGTGCGGGAGAATGATGTAAACTTCTTAGTTGAAATTATCAGCCATAAGTTGACGTCATTGTCAATCTGTTTTATTCGATAATTGTCAATGTATCTAATGTAATCAAAGCAAATTTTACTGTTAATTTTAGCTTATTAAAACCTTATATTCAGTAAAGGTTTTCTCTTATTTCAAAAGCACATGTTAACAAAATGCTAGTAAATACGGCCATTGCCAGCTGACTGACAAAACCGGTGCATGCGCAATGTAGGTGTGAGGTGATGGTTTGCTAGATATAAAATAATAATTAATAATTGGGAATTTCATTGTTTTTATGATCGAACAATCGCGAACGTTGAACAAACGATATTGATCAAAATTAATCAATCTGAGCGATAAAAATAAAGATATCTAGTAAAAGGGGCCAACTTAAGGGTGATCATTTGTTTAATTAATTATAAATAAATAAAAGACGAACAAACGACGAACAAATAAAATAAAAAAAAATAATGCGAATATCAAAAAAAGTGGAGCCAAATTCAGTGAGCCAATAAGTTATGGCTTGATCTCTCAAATATATTAAGTGTATAATCTATGGCTTGAACCATAGATTATACACTTTATTATTTGAAATTGAGAGCTCGAACCATGCTCGAAGCTCGAACCGAGTTCGAACGTGTGTTATGTTTATATGCTGTAGTTTACTTGATTAAAAATATTCAGACAAAGTGAAACAAAATGCAAGTTTCCGAAATAGATAATGTAAAAATTTACAATTTAAGTGTTGGAAAATCTATACCAGATGTAAGTAAGGTTTAGTTCAAAAAAACCTAAAAAAACTAAATATAAAAATTGGGTGAAATTTGCTGTAAGTTGTAATTATTAAAACTTGTAATTATTATATTTTAGTGGCTCTCTGAGAGGAAAAAACGTGCCTTATTAAAGAAAAATGTAGACTTACGAAGAAGAATAGAACTCATTCAAGAGTTTGATATGCCTGGTGTGAGCACCTGTCTAAAAGTGTCGAAAGATGGGCAGTACATAATGGCAACTGGTATTTACAAACCTAGAATTAAATGTTTTGATGTTAATAACTTATCATTGAAATTTGAGAGGTGTATGGATTCTGAAGTCATTAAATTTGAAATTCTTAGTGAAGACTACACAAAGGTTTGTATAATCAACACACTCTGCAAAGATGATATATCACCTAATCACAATAAAAAGTCCACAATCTAGTTTATCAAAACATTAAATACTTGAGTTTACATTATTAATATTTACAACACTAACTGGTAGTGGTAGTGATTAATTAGGCACTTGTGATTAGGGAATCTGATTATTTTATAGATTATTAGCAGACTGTAGTTTTTGTAAAAAAAAAAATTTATTATATTATAACTTTTTACTTTATGTTACTATAACTATTGTTTCAGATTGTGTTTTTACAATGTGATAGATATGTTGAGTTTCATGTGGGTCATGGCCGACATTATAGACTCCGAGTTCCACGTTTCGGAAGAGATATAGCATACCACAAGCCTTCTTGTGACCTCTTTGTAGTTGGAAATTCCTCGGTAATTAAAGAAAATTATCATTTTATATAATTGAATATGAAGTCGTCGTGGCCTAAAGGATAAGACGTCCGGTGCATTTGTGTTGAACAAATATTTCTAATAAAATACGTACTCAACAAATGTTCACAATTGACTTTCACGGTGGAGGAATAACATCGTGTAATAAAAATCAAACCCGCAAAATTATAATTTGCGTAATTACTGGTGGTAGGACCACTTGTGAGTCCTTGCGGATAGGTACCACCACCCTGACTATTTCTGCCTTAAACCAGTAATGCGTATCGGTTTGAAGGTGGGTGGCGCGTCTACGTTGTAGATGTCTATGGGCTCCAGTAACCACTTAATACCAGGTGGGCTGTTAGCTCGTCCACCCATCTAAGCAATAAAGAAAAAAAAATCACAAAAGGAAAATACACATTATTATGATATATAATGATATTAATGTTATTTAATGATACAAAAAAAAGTAGATCATAACATTACTAATACAGAGTTCTTATCAATGGCCAGTAGAATAACAATTGTTGTCTTGCAGGAAATTTATAGATTGAATTTAGAAATTGGCCAATTTTTAGCACCATATTCTACCAAAGCAACTGAAATGAACTGTTGTTCTGTGAATGAAGAACATGGCTTATTGGTTACTGGAACAGAAACTGGACATGTTGAAGCTTGGGATCCGCGCACAAAGACGCAACAAGGAATTTTAGATTGCGCTATGCATTGTACGGATTCTAAATATGGGTAATTAAATCAATAAATATTGTTTAAAAAGTTAATAAAATATGAAAAAACTACACCGCCCAATCAGAAGATGCTATTATCATACTAGGTAATTAGAAACTTTATACATGGTCAGGACAACAACAACACACATTCATGAGCCATTTTGCATCTATTTAACCAAAGTTCTTACAGGTTTAGATAAACAAGCTCACAGCCCACCAGGTGTCACTGGAGTCCATAGATTCAACCAGTTAATGCCACCACCCACCTTGAGACATGAGCTCTATATCTCAGTACTTCATAGTAGTATTTCATTAGAAAAATAAAACATATTTTGAAGTCGCCGTAGCCTAAATGATAAGACGACCCATGCATTCGTATCGAGCGATGCTACTGTGTCGGAGTTCAAATCCCATACGTAGATACCAATATTTGTAATGAAATTTTATTTTTTAACATCAACTTTGTTTTACTAGATTTATAAGAAATGTACTGTAAATAAGATTAATGTTGTTCTCAACCAGAATGCAATAACATAGAATTATTGAATTTGAGCAATGTGACTTTGCAAGATTACAAACTGTGCAAGCAAGTAGTTACCAGTTTATCTAAGAAAATACGTACCTAACACATATTTACAAGACTTAGTGTAATTAAAAATGTTAATTATTATTGCTTTTTTTTTAATGCTGTGAACACACCATTATAGATAAATTTCCACAGTGACTAAGTTAAGTTCTGGTTTGAAAAATAGAGTAGCTGTTTTAAAATAAAATTAAAACTTTTGATCACGCGTCTCAAGGTGGCTTTTACATTCTTATGTGTTTGGGCTCCAGTAACTAATGGTTTACATGGTTACATATAGATGATACATAACTCTTACAGCTTAGTATTGGTTACCGGTTTAATACTTGAGGTAAGGAATCTAAGAAAAAAATATTAAAATGTCCCTGAACAAAATGATCATAAATACTCATGCTAATTTAGATAGCAACTTAATGATAAAAAAATAATTGATTAAGATACTGACTATCATTTTAGAAACTGTAAACTGCCTGCTATAACTGCATTAAAATTTGACGGTGCACTAAATATGGGTGTTGGAACATCTACTGGACATATACTTCTTTATGATATAAGATCTAGTAAGCCTCTTCTAATTAAAGATCATATGAACGAAACGCCCATAAAATGTATCGAATTTCACAAAAGCATGAACTATATATATTCCATGGATTCTGCAGTTGTAAAAATTTGGGATAAAACTACTGTAAGTGATGTTCTTAGTGATATGTACTATTTAGTTTTATTACGATTTCAAATCATAATAATGCTTATTACAGGGGAAGCAATATACCAGCATAGAATCATCAGTGGATTTCAATGATTTGTGTGTTATACCTAACACAGGATTAAGTATGATGGCAGTCGAAGACCAAAAAATGCAAATATACTACATACCATCATTAGGTTAGAATTTTGACTTTCGAAAATTTCAACTTTCTGTAAAACGATTTAGTCTAAGATCTAAGAGCTTTAGAACATACTATAAGGGTATGTTAAAGGAAACATAAATAAATACACACCTGTGTGCATAAAATCTAGTATGCTTATTTAATTTAATTTCAGTGCTATATTACAAAGAAAAAATAATTTAATTTTTGTGCTATTTGTTACTCATTCGTTTTTATCACTTTAATTCTGTTTATTTTAAGGTCCTGCTCCGAGGTGGTGTGCCTTTTTAGATAATTTGACAGATGAACTTGAAAGTTCTGCTGCACAGACTGTTTATGATGATTATAAATTTGTGACAAAACAAGAACTAGAATCTTTAGGCTTGGATCACTTGCTTGGCACTAATCTTTTAAGAGCATATATGCATGGGTAAGTTTTGGATTATACTAGCTGTTACCCGCGACATTGCCTGAAAATGTCAATTCATTTTTCTGAAGTGTCATGTAGTTTTTCTAAAGATAAAAAAGAGTTTCCCGTGGAAATGAGAAGTTAAGGTATATTACAACATTTTCCTGACCTAAAACTATCACTTTAAAAGAAATTATGTCAATCCGTTGTTTCATTGCGACGTGAAAGAAGGGCAAGAAAAACACCACAAAAAATACGCTCTTACATTTTTAATATTAGTATGGATATAAAGAACACAAAGTGTGGATAAAAAAGTACAACTCAAAAACGGTAGGCAGCGGCTTGAGTCTGCCTCTGGCATTGCTGACGTCCATGTGCGATGACAACCACTCACTATCAATCAAGTGGGCCGTATGGTCGTCTGTTTATAAGGGCAATAAAAAAAAATTATATGATATGATATCTACCTTACCTACAAACCTAATATTCCAAACTATGATTTAACATTTCGAATTCATTATAAATCTGTAATTTACACAAGTTTAATAAGTTCCAAAAGAATACTATTAAAATCAACAGAGATAGATATTTTTTTATAAATTTATCTAAGGAGAAGAAGGAACTTATAGTAAGATTTATTTTTGAATAATTCATATTAATATCTGTACATTAACAAAGAAAGGTAATAATTTCATATATTATTTTTAAGATACTTTGTGGATATACGACTTTACAAGAGGGCAAAATCGATAGCTGAACCATTTGCATTTGAAAACTATAAGAAACAGAAAATAAGGGAAAAGATTGAAGAGGAAAGACCATCTAGATTAAAAGTAGACGAAAATCTTCCTAAAGTCAATAGGGAGTTGGCATCGAGGATATTGGGAGATGAAGGGCGTAAGAAAAAATACACCTGCAATTTGCTTAAAGATGAAAGATTTAAGGTAAAATCAATATGAAATTCATTTTAAAACGGATTGAATATTAAAGTATGAGCTAATTTGTAATTTGTGTCTGTCCCATTAGGAATTATTTGAGAATCCTGATTTTGAAGTAGATAAAGATGCTGCAGAATATCGTTTACTTAATCCAGTTTTGTCGAGAAGGGATAAAAACAAAGAAAACAATTCAGAAAGCCAGATCGCACAGGTAAGAAAGTTTTACATAAATGTGTGTAGATGTACGTGTAAATCTCAATTAAAAATGTTAAAATACAATATCATTGCTTTTCAGGTGCCTGAAGCGGCAGAAAAAGATTCTGACGCCGAGCTATACGAGTCGAGCGATGACGATGCTGGGAGCTCGGACGAGGACCGTTCCTGGGTCAAAGAAGTTAAAAAACAACACAAAATAATTCGCAAGAAACATGAACTAGAAGAGGACCTTGCAACAGACGGGAAATTCTACGAATTGAATAGTGCACCGAAAACTACAAGTAGTATTAAGAGCATAACAAGAGTAAGCAAGAAAAGCTTGGGCGATCGGCTAGCTAACGAAGGCTTCACAATGGTCACTGGGACCAGCGGAAATAGAGAAATGAAATTTACAATGCGAGGGAAGAAATCTATATCAGATAATCAGAAAAAAATGAGGAAGCATCACCAAGAGAGGAGGCAGATTGTCCGAAAAACGGGATATTTAATGAAAAAGAAATTAAGTAAAATGTGAAAATAAAAAAAAATAAAAGCAAAATATAATGTGTTTATATTTATTATATGTACATCATGACCTTGTCGCGATTTACGTTGTTGATCTTATTCTTGGGCTCCGGTACCCACTTAACAGCAGGTAGGCAGTGAGATTGTCCATCCAACTATGTAATAAAAAAGCTCATTTACCTAATTTACATTTATTATAGTAATTTCTGGGATTCTTCACAAAAACTACTCAATACCAGCACCTTTTTGGACAGAAATCAACAAAGGTCATCTGTAATGTCGATCACCTGGACTAAGAAAACTTATTTCTTTTTATCTAATCAAAGTACTTAGATATGCTTTTCACTTTTTTCCCTACCCAATCGTTGATAGCTTAAGGTGCTATTCAAAATGCAAGGCAGGCTAAGCAAAAACGTTAATGTCGGTGTTCCACTGTGCTAGTAGGGGAACCATTTTTAGGCAAGCACGAGAACCGCTCTCGCTTTTCGGCATCCTCTTAGGGTAGTGGCAAGCTTCCGCAGCCCTCCCGACCTCCCTTATTTTATGTCATTAGGAATTATTAGGGTTGCTAATAGGACGGGATAGTCGACATACAATATAACAGAGATTCGATTTCATGTCTCAGGGTGGATGGCGGCGTTTATATTGAGAATAAGATCTTCGCTAACCACCAATTAGCCTTTTAATGAATTTGACCAAACGGACTATGTCGCTACCCGGAAATCCTATTACCTTTCATTTCACTGCATACAGAGGTCCGTTAAAATCTCAGATTATAGTTAATTGCAGTTCGATCTCTGGGTCTATGGAGTAATATTCATTATATGTTTAGTATCTTTTCTTATTATTGACATAATTGGGGTCACGTGCATGGGGCATCGGCTGGTCGGTAAGGGTCCTCGGAACCCAAAAGCACCATAGTATGAATTCCTCCACCCATTTCGTGACACGAGATCCAATGATGATGCATTCAGGGCGCTTTAAGGAGTTATTTCTTATGATCTTAACTTTCTTTTAAGACTATACAACACTGCAATTCTTAAAAATAAATATCAAACAATCATAGTCTGCTAGTGGGCAGAAGATGTATTTAGTTTTTTAAAGTTTTGTTTTGCCTACTTTATCTTTTTAATACGCTTTTATTAGCTTCAGACGTATGTATGTTTGTAACGGAATCTTTGAACACGATTTTGATCCCCTTCAAAACGTCGGATTAACTCGAAACATGGTATACTTATGAAGGACCGATGACAATTCAATATTAAAAAAAATATTGAAAAAAATGAAATTCAACTAAAAAATGAAAAATAAATAATAGTTAAAAACGCTTTTTTTACAACAAAATCATTTTTTCTTACACTATTTTTAATTGAAATTTATTAAAATTTATTTTCTATTTTTTAGTTGGATTTTCTATAAAAGCGTATTTTGTTAGTTTTTTTAAACTATTATTTATTTTTTGCGGCTATGTGCTACGAAGGGACTGTTTATTTTGGGAGTGTGAAAGATTTGTTGTTGACCGAACGATAGAATCTTAAAATTAATGCCCATTTAAAATAAATGTACCATACAACTTGTATCTTTATGATCTCAATATAAATAACAGTTTGTAACGCAATACATTCCAAATGATGTCACCGGGAATTATTCGATTTTTTTTTTGTTTCGTAGAATGATAACATTCCATTCGTGTATGACCACGATGTAAGATTTTATTTGTACATTATATTTAAAACTTCCATTCCTGTATGACAACGATGCATGATTTTTTGCACATTTTATTTAAAACGATTTTTTTTGTTTTTTTTTAAACAAGTCTATTTTGTCGATCATTACCAAAAGGACTTATTTTTACGTTCATTGATGTTGTTATCGTTAAGGGTCAGTCACATGCGAACGCAATCGATAGTGGTTGTTTTGTAAAAATACTGCAGTTCAGTTTTATCTCGTCTGCTTCACGCCTCCATGGGTATATCTCTAGTAATGTGTTTTGTTTAGTGTAATTTGATATGCTGTGTGTAAAGTAAACGAAAGCAGTGAAATGTTTGTAACAGCAATAAAGTTATTCTTGCAATAAAAATACGTTGAAAATACAATTATGCAAAACGATAATGGATCATATGGCAGTGGTAAGTTAATTGAAATATTATGTTTGCAATCTACCGCCCTTATTTAGTACATTTAAATACAAAATCAATATTCCATTATAAACGTTATCACTTCTTATAATGTGCTTAATGTTAATTAATGTGTAGAAATGGGCAATAAAGTGGACAGTGTTCATTTTTTTAATGATTATATAGCTAGCGATTTGCTGGATAGCCATGTACTAGGAAACGACAAATGTTCTGAACCAGCTATGGAGAGATCTACTAGATCCAGTCTTGATGCCAACAGTGTTGATGTGAGTAAATTAAATTGATCTTAGTAAATCAGTCCTAAACATTAATTGGTTATACAAACTCAGGCATTGTCATGACCTAAGTTATGTTTGAATTGAAACAGCCACAAGTTTTTTTTCCCTACCTAAGCTGATAGCCTTGATAAGCTATATCGGCTTCGCCCTAACGTGTAGGTGTGCTCACGGGGCTCAAACCGGAGTGGTGCTAACACTGGCCCTAGCAAGAGCAGTGCTTCGCAAAATCTACCACCGGATCAGAAATGCGACCCACTGAGAAGATCCGGTGAGAAACTCAGTGGACTGTGTCTGTTGGTTAATTCGCTCTTCGAGCCCTTCGTCGCAAGCGACGGGTTCGACGAGGACGGTGACCGGTGCTTGTGGTACCTAAAAGCACCGTTAATGGATCAGGAGGATCCGTAATGACGTGTTTTGGGCGACGTCGACTGTTTACCATTCGGTCTACAGGATCGGGTATGAATATATTATTATTCCTTACAAATAAACTGGATGTGTTTCAGATCGGGGAAATAACTGAGTCGCCTGATGCCGAGTACATGAGCACCTCAGCAATTTTACATTACTGTAAATCCAAAGTGTGTATATCAAATTAATATATTTTATTCCTTATCAACTTCGCGAATGGGTGTGGGCGCACACGCCATATTATTTAATCGAAATATTAATGGTAAAAAAGTTAAGTGTATGTAGGTATATTTGGATGTATATTTGTAGCCTTGAGAGCTTATATGAAATTTGTCTAATAATCATGTATTAGTGCCAGGACATGTGGCGTAACGACATGGGTTGTATTGCTGTGCCGCCCACTTTTGCCGCAAAGCAACCAGGTTCTGATTTAAACGATGGAATAGCCGTGGGATGCAATCGAGACCTCCGAGCTCATGTGCTTCAAGCCATTATGTTTCAATAGACCGTGGTATTCCGGCAATAGTAGTAGCTCTAGCTTCTATATAGCCATATGATCTTAAACTACTCCATATACGTTAGAATACTATGTATGTTTTATACATAATCTAAGCTAGTCTTATAAAGTGTCCGCAGTCTAATGGGTAAGACGACCGGTGTAATCGTATCGAGTAATGTGATGAATATCTCCGGAAGGTATCGATTTTTCTATTATTCAATTGCCCTCGACGACCAATGAGCACACGGCTCACCTGGTGATGAATGGTTACTGTTGCATGGACATTGGCACAGCGCTACCTGTCGGGAAAAGTAAATATGTACGTACTTAACAAATGTTCACGAACGACTTCAATGAAAAAGGAATAGCCTATTCAATTAAAAATTAATGTGGCTGAAATTTTGAAATTCGTATAGCTAATTAAATAAAAATAGTGGTAGAGGGGGGAATTGTGACCCATTACCCCTATTCTTCCTCTTTCTGCCACGAGACTTATTTCTTTCTGTTTAAAAGGTCATCCGTTACCCAATACAACTAAGACTTCAACTTCATATCTCAATTGACGGGATTCAAGTAGTAGATTTTTATGGGGTCCAGTAACTAAGTACGTAATATCAGGGAAGCTATGAAGTAGTTGGCACATTTAGGGGAAAACGCTACTAGTGATGACATTAATTTAAAAAAAAAAAATTTTTGGCATTAAGGCCTAGGACAACCATGAATTCAACTTTTCAAATTTTAATTCGGTCTAATGTATTTATGGAATCTATACGTCCATTTGTAGAAACTATTTCTTTATATAATTGAGCTTGTCCATGCAGAATTGGAAATTTCTAGAAAAACCAAAGAATCTATACACGATTTCCTAAGCTAGCGATTTTTGAAAAAAGTAGGTGTACCAATAACATAGACTCACTGGTATCTATTTATATGTAAATAAAAATTAATATTTTTGTGTTTGTTGTCTATAAGTTCCTAAACCACTCATCCGATTGTAATAACGGCACTTTCGACAATGTTTCTGTCATACTCGTAGTAACTTCAAACTTGGTAGGTGAGGCGCGAGTAGTTTCGAGAAATTTAAGTATTTCGTACAATTAGCGATAGTCACAGCGGAGCGGGCCGTGCTTCAGTAGTTTCTATTAACACTGATTTGACTAATGTCCGGAAGAGCACATGTCTTTCTTTCTAACAATAACATCATTTTTTTCAGATTCTGATCCCATATTTAAAATTACTGACAATCATGGGCTTACGACCAGTAATGGACGTCTCTAACACGTCAAGATGCATGATTTGTTGTTCGCACTTTCATTCCGCCCAGGTGGCAATTCTTATGCTCTTAGGATATATTTTACAATATATGGCATGCTTTAGGTAAGTTCGAATTTTTTTTTACATATAGCAGTACTTCGCAGTATCACCGGATCGGAAACGCGACCCACTGAGAAGATCCGGCGAGAAACTCAGTGGCTTGTGTCTATGGGTTAATTCGCTCGTCGCAAGCGACGGGTTCGACAAGGACGGTGACCGGTGCTTGTGGTACCTAAAAGCACCGTTAATGGATCGGGAGGATCCGCAATGACGTGTTTTGGGCGACGTCGGCTGTTTAGCATTCGGTCTACAGGATCGGACATGTAGTTTCCAGCGGCCACGACAAGAGGGTTCTCATGTCGTGCCGCCTTCTCAAAGTGGAAAATACCCAATATCTGTTATGATTTCTATAATATTTTTATGATTTATAAGTATAATATTTTTATGATTTATACTTTATGGGACTGAACTGTAAGCGTGCCCTACGTTATTTAGAACTGATATTTTTTAAATTTTATTCAGAACGTTACAAAAAGACTGCCATAAGTAATCATATTAAAAATAACAAGTTCACAGTAAATGAAAAGACATGAGTGGATGAAGGGGTTAAGGACAATTTTTAAGATTTTTGAGTTTTTACATTGAATGAAGGTGTTATGTTTATAGGCATAAACCATATTAGAGCTTAAAACTATGGATCTAAAGGCCATTTTTAGAAATTGCATGTGATAGGAGCTATGTACGAAGAAAAGTAGAAGTAAGAAATTTTGTTGCCCATTTTCTCAAAATTAACAAATTGTATCTTTTTATTTTATTTGTACCTAGTCAGGTCATAAATTCTGTCACATGTTTAATGTAAAATAATTGAAACAAGTTTATTCATTATGTAACCATTCATATACCAAAATGAACTTAACAAAACATAGATTCTTATGAAACTAAAGTTTATTCAAAATGACCTCCGTGATTTTGAATACAGGCCTTCAATCTGCGCGGCCAGTCGTCTGTCGCAGCACGAACGAGGTCCATGTCAATATCGGCGGCTGCCTTAATCAAGGATGTCTTGAGTGACTCCAAACTGGGATGAGGCTTTGAGCACCCCTCTTCCTCCAAGTGTTGCCATATCTTGTAATCTAACGGATTCAAATCTGGACTGGAGGAGGGCCAGTCTTCGTGCCGGATGAAGTCGATTTCACGCGCCGCCAGCCAGTCTTGTGTGCTCTTCGCTCTATGAGCTGGCGCCGAATCTTGTTGGAATACCCAGTGCCTGTTATTGAACATGGTATGAGAAACAGGTTCCACAAGGTTCGTCAGGACTGTATTTTGATACACAACTGCATTCGTTTTTACACCTTTCTCACAAAAATGTACCTCTGTTAAGCCCCAATAAGAAACTCCCAACCATACCATGAGCGAGGATGGAAAATGACCTCGTTGGACACGCGGAATACGGTTGCTCGCTTCTTCACTACTGTGTGCGTACACCTTATCATTTTGTTTGTTGTAGCTCTCTTCTACGGTAAAAATTTTTTCATCCGAAAAAAGAATTTCCCGATATTTTTTTCCCGCGTACCGCTTCAACAAAGCGCGGCATCTCTTCAGTCTCAGGTCCATTAGACGAGCATTCAAACGATGTCCTGTTTTTCTTCGATATGCCCGAAGCCCTAAGTCTTCATTTAACACCCTTTTCACCGTGGTTCTGCTTAACCCCATCTGAAGGGCCAACAGTTTCTGCTTACGTTTGGGATTTCTTTGAATTCGCGCCTTCACAGCTTTTATCACTGCTGGAGTCCTAACAGACCGAGGGCGACCACTTCTTGACCTGTCATCTACACTAGAGTCTTCATTGTATCGTTTGATGGTACGATAAACGAATCTTTTGGTTATATTCAAATTTTTCAGTATGTTAAAAATTTGAATTGGCGCGTAACCGCAACGATGCAACGCAATAACTGCAACACAGTCTTCTTTAAGCGTCCACTCCATATTTAAAAATGAGTAAAATTCTAAAAGTATATATTTTTATTTTCATGAACAATTCGAAATTCGAATTCAATAAACTTTTTTGTGGCCAGCATTCTAAAAGAAAAGTTTTTACTGTGTGACAATACTTATGACCTGACTAGTTATTTATTGCTTAGGTGGATGGATGAGCTCACAGCCCACCTGATGTCAAGTGGCTACTGGAGCCCATAGACATCTACAACGCAAATGCGCCACCCACCCTGAGATACAAGTTCCAAGGTCTTAGCACAGGTACAACGGCTGCCCCACCCTTCAAACCAAAATGGCGACTGCTTCACGGCAGAAATAGGCAATATATACCCTTCATCCACTCATGTCAAATATAAGATCATAAGAACAGTAAGTACTTTCTGACAGTCTTCTTATAACGGTCTTATAAAGCTCCAATAACTAATTATGAATAGAACCGTTAGTACGTACATAACTATTCATTTTACTATTTTTAACCTTTATATTTTCTTGTGTAAATTCTATTTTACCAACTTTTTTTTTTTTAGGAGAGATAGAGGATTTTGCTATAAATTAGTGCCGTTAGCATTAACTTCGTCTTTAGAATATGACACATATAAAGAAGTATGCTACGGGAATGTTGCTTTTATTTACATAGGACCCAGCGTTTTACATTTTTTGGGATTCTTATATGCACTGTATTTATTTCGGGTTTCCGATAACGAACAGTTACAGAATTTGATGGAAAGAGTAAGTAATTTTCAAATATTGATTATAATAATGTTCAGAAATGGGTATTACTATTACGTCACTAGACATTTAAATTAATTACCGTTTACATTTTTAACACTACTGATATAAGTGAGAAATAGTTATTATATTTCGAACATATATAATTATTGCTAATTCCATCAAAGTAATTTGAGATATTTTATGGTATTAGGTTTTTCTTCTATCTTCGTATGCGCCACGAGGAATGCCAACTGCAAAGCCTAGACGACTGCTGCGTATGTTGTGGTTCTTTATAATTCTTAGTGTGGTTTGGATGTGCTTATCACTTTGTTTGGTGAATATGATGTTGGCCAAAGGTAACATAATATTCAGATGGATGGAAACCAGGTAGGTAAATGAAATATTTTATTTAAAATAATTCACGTTCGTTATTGACCACATACAAAGGACATAATGATGTGGTTGATAAAAGGCAATTACGATCTGTCTCAAAATGTCTATCACCATTTTTACCAGGCTACCGAAGCCACCGTTCACAAACTGTTATAGCTTACCTATAGTATTTACTTCGGTTTCCAGGATTTTGAGAGTTGTAGACATCATGAAAACTACTTCTACGGTTCAATCTCGCATTTCTTATTTTCATGATATTATTTTCGACGCTTAGGATATTTTAAAATTGTGCAAACTAACGTTGAATATTTTATTAGAACTTTTTAAGTTTCTTTTTTTAAAAATCTAAAACTCTATTGAACAGTATATAGATTGTTGGTAGTGTGACATCGAATGCAGAATTTCTAAATTATGTATTTTTATTTAGTTCTCAAAGTATTAACTCAACTTTAAAGCCTTATTTATAAATGCGAGAAGTCGCAATGGTTCAAAACAGCCAGTTGTCGATAACAAGGGTTGCTTACAGTTCCTATGAAGTAAACGTGGCTCTGAAGATACTGATGATAATTTGCACACTGATACACGACATGGTACAGGCGACCATAATAACTAGTTACTGTCTCCAAGCACAGCTACTCCAAGCTCACCTCATGTTTTTAAAAGAACGTCTACTCAATAGAACTATGACTCCACTCAATTGGATGAGGGTAAGATTAATTGTATTAAATTGGGACCTTGCTCTGTATCCGTAAATCACAATGTTGCCGATACAAATGTTATTAGGATGATGATGTTTAATATTATAATCGTCCGTTAGTCTGTAATTGTTCGTAATAAACTGTGGTATTGCTGAAACTGGAAAGGCCTCCGGGCCACAAGTAATCCTTCCTTCATATAAAATGTTCTTAATGAGATAAGTTAAACATACACTTTTTAGCAACAGTCTAAACATACACCTATGTGTATTTATGTATATCACCAGCTTTTTTTTTAATGGGGTGAACGTTGTTCCGGCACACATGGTGTGGAACGGTTACCGAAAACTGGTCGAAAACTCGATTGAATGGTATTAAGATAAGGAAGGAAGTATTACCCTTTTGAACTGGAACGCATGATTGCTTCGGGTAGAATTAGACTGTGCTGTACAACGGTAGATAACAGCATGTATTTTTTAGGAAATAGCAGAATTCCGTAAATTATTGAAGTATTTGAATGACGATCTAGCGCCAGCGATATGTTTATTCACGATGGTGAACATCTCTTGGGCCATATCAGGAACTATGTGGTTACTGAATTTGGATAAAGTGGACACCGAGACGGAACCAATAATTGGAATTAGCGTTCTTAATCAACTGTTGTGGATATCGGCAGCGGTCGTACCCTTTATTCAGGTATTGAAGATTTTTTATTATTATATGATTTCATTTAAGGCCAATCCTTGCGCCAATTTGATGGGCAGTAAAATAGCGCGTTAACCAAAAAAGGGGTCCTGTTTTCCATTGAAATAGAATAATGGACTTTATCACAACAATTATACATCAAATTATTGTATTTCATTGTAATGCAAGATCTAGTGTCTAGTGAACTGTATATTTGACATCCCTGTATTTTAATAAACATTTAGTTAGCGTACTAAATTTAATAAATTACATTAATCAGCTTCGTATTAAAATACCATTATAGCTCGCATTCATTTTAAGTATATTAATTTAACACTTTTAATTAATTCTGTTAGAGCCATCTAGGCAGAATTTATAGAATAACATATTTTTCGTAACATAGTAATATACGTACCTGCTAATAGATGTTTTATTGTTTATAAATCATGTACTTTAAGAAACAACGTTAATAATTATGAATAAAAGCATAAACATGCTTTCAGTATTATATGAGATTCATTTTACCACCTGTGCAATGTGCATATGGTACATCTAATGACAATCGCACTAGAGCTGATGCAACTAAATTTTTAAAATATTGATTGTATACGAAACCCAATGTCACAGTTATTCCCCCTATTAACTAATAAAATATAGGAAAAATGTACATACTTTTAAAAAAAAAAAAATTATTTAGTTGTGGTCAAGAAAAAATCTTCATTCAATACTTAAAAAATATGGATTTTATACATGCTTAGGGTTGCAAGTCTGCATGCATTAAGTCTAAGAAATGTATATGTAATGTTCTAACGTGTTCGTATACAAAATAACAGTATTATATTTTGACAGGCGGCTCGGTTGTCGAGAGAGTGCGCTAAGACTCAGTCCGTCGGGCACGAGCTGTGCGTCCGCCCGTTTTTACACCAGGACACGTCACAGGAAGACATTACCACGATAATGCTATACGCGTCGACGCTGCAACTGCACGCCAAACTGTTCCACTACCCTATAGCCGGACGTTACCTCTATCTCGCCGTTACCATTATCATTATCGTATTATTTTCATTAGGAATGTGTCATTATTTACAATGATTGTTATCATTATTCGTTTTGTCAATTATTATGATTATTTTGAAATGAAATAAAATAAGTTACATACAATTAATTTTTTTTTTATTTTCTTCATAAAACTAAAACTACGACAATTTTACAAGCACACGAGTTGCACTGTATGTAGGCTAAAACCGACAACGATGTCTCCTATTTATTTAAAATATTTAATAATAATTTTATTAACTCTAGTTCTCCGTCAAAAATTGCGTTTTAAAATTTACTAGATATAACAATAACACTAAAAATACAATCTGTAACGTTTACAAGTCTTTGGTTTCGGCACATAAGTTTTATCCAATTTTAGTGATGAGGTCTAAATTTTGATATTAAATAGTTGAAAATTCAATAAAAGGAAAACGAAAATCGGCGGTTGATTGTCTATAAATACTACACATAAATAACCACCATTTTACTGAGATTATATTTCATTCCATATCACCTCATCTCATTTCATTCAATTTTATGTCAGTTGATTAATTTGGGTTTCCTTCGTTTTTGATTATTCATAAACTGTAAATAATTAAAACGGATAATTATAAAAATTTTGTTATTTGACACTGGCTAATGCACAAACCGTGCCGGAGTCAAAAAATAAAAAAGGAGAAGAAGAATTGTCACCCTTTGGAATTGAGGAATTATGGAGGGTAGAGAAGAACCGACTCTGTATGAAAAAAAGAGTCCGTTAAAATCTGCTAAATAAGGGTTGCACTACAGTAGCAACCGGCTAAATTTAAAAAAAGGCGCTGAAAGTTATTAGAATAAGATAGAGAAATAAAAAAGGACGAAAGAACTACAAGCACTACCAAATCACAAAAAGTATTTTATTTAAAGCTGATAACAAAATGCAATCGATGTCTCCACGTTTTACCTCAGCAATAATTTTAGGTTATATTGACGAAATTAGTTTGGACTACGTAAACATGTGAGGTCTTGTATATTATACTGTCACTAACTACTCTAATTAAATATGTATATTAAATTTCCTAATTCAGCATACTTCAATCAGTTAACAACTGCTCAATTAATATCATACCCTGTGCCTATGCTAGCGCCATTCTGGAGGATTTTTGAACTGTTATTTAGTGCTGAAAGTGGGACACTTTTCCAAGCCTCTCCCATATGAGACGGTTTTCCTTACATCTACCCTCCCATATGAGGAATAAACATATTTTTCATCTCTATTTTGGCACAAATCTTAATTGTATAAGTGTAAGTATTCATTCGGTGTCGACGAGCGGATGTCTGCCGAGCTGCGCCGTCCACCATGAGCGCACGTCGTGGAGCGCGGGCTGCTCGCGGGCGGCGCTGGCGTGCGTGTTGTGCGTCGTGCGACTGTTGCATTTCATAACCGCTGTCGAAAACATTCAATACATAACAACCTTATATCGAGGGATGAATGGCTTTTTTTTATTGCTTAGATGGGTGGACGAGCTCACAGCCCACCTGGTGTTAGGTGGTTACTGGAGCCCATAGACATCTACAACGTAAATGCGTCACCCACCTTGAATTATAAGTTCTAAGGTCTCAGTATAGTTACAACGGCTGCCCCGCCCTTCAAACCGAAACGCATTACTGCTTCACGGCAGAAATAGGCAGGGCGGTGGTACCTACCCGCGCGGACTCAAAAGACGTCCTACCACCAGTAAAGCTATTTAAAGTAAGGCTATTTGGTTTAAGCGACATTTAGTCTTTGTAATTAAAGGTGGGTTCTATTTGGTATTAGCATCAACAGTTCGATGTTTTTAATTGAACTTCAATTAAGTTTACTCTATTCAAATAGCTAAAGAAGGTTTTTTGTTATGATATTTTTTTCCAAATTTTAAGCTTTAAAGGCCCTTCTGTGAAGTTGCAAAAATGTCGCTTAAATCAAACAGCCTTTCACGATATGTATTAGAACTAACTAACGAAACTAATTTACTGGTGGTAAGACGTTTTGTGAGTCCACACGGGTAGGTAGCATTTCTACCGTGAAGCAGTAGTGCGTTTCGGTTTGAAGGGGCAGTCGTACTGTACTGAGACCTTAGAACTCATATCTCAAGGTAGGTGGCGGCATTTACCTTGTGGTTGTCTATGGGCTACGGTAATCATTTAACACCAGAAGCGTCGTGAGTTCCACCCATCTAAGCAATAAATAAATAAAAATTACTAAAAAATAAAACGTTAAGATTAAATACACACAACAAATGGAAAATAACATTCAGTTGTTGAGCTTAATTAATTGCGTATTCGTTATAATGGAAATTATTTTGCCATTGAATTTAAATTTATATTTTTCTTACTTTGGAAAGCGAGGGCAGCTTGCTATAACATTTAACAACTATTTATAACGAATTCTATTAATTAGACTTCGACGACGGCCGAAATTTATTTTTGAAAAATAATTCTTAATCACTCTTTTAAACTCACGTGGGGATTTCTTAAGTGCAGGATGCGGGTCGCTGAGGGTTGGTTGAAGATATTTTTTAATGGGACTTTCTGGTCTGTAACATGTCAATTTTACAATATTATTATTATGTTATAAAGGGGAATGCCCACTCTCCATAGTGTGCTAGGCCCAAGGTGGACATCAAATATTACTATAAAAATGGACTGATTCAAATTCTTAAATGTATTAGATATCTAAAAAATATATTGAAATTGACGCCACTATTATAAAAAATATAATAAAAATAAAAAACTCGTTTTGAGGTTAATTTTTTATATAAATACCTCAAGAACTTTTCTTTTTTTAATGTTTAAGATGTTCCTAATGTATTTTTATCCAATTGTAGTTATTAGGGTATAAAAAACACACATACTTCTTTAAATATCTATATTATTCTATATTTTCTTCATCTTCATACACAATTAGTAAATCATCTAAAAATAGCACAGGAGAGCATATACACGGTTTTAAATCTCGGTCAGGTTAAAAGCACAATTCACACTATGGTTTTCAGCCGTAGTATGAAACGTTATTGATAAAAGCAAAATAAATCGAAGAAAAATCAAAACACATCCATTTTGAACGCAAGCACAAGCAGCAAGCGAAGTGTCATTCAGTCAGATTAAAATCAGTGTTGTCAGTATAAAGAAAAATAATTACATGAAATTCATATATCGATCATTTTTTTAAATAACCGATATTGGATTTATTTCTTAATCTTTTTTTTACGAGTACACATTATATTTTATTTTTTATGTTTTTGTTTTAGTTGTACGTATTGAAATAACAATACAAGTTAAGTTTTTTTTTTATTGCTTAGATGGGTGGACGATCTCACAGCCACCCTGGTGTTAAGTGGTTACTGGAGCCCACAAACATCTACAACGTAAATGCGCCACCCACCTTGAGATATAAGTTCTAAGGCCTCAAGTATAGTAACAAGTTAAAGTCCAATGGGTATGTCTTTGATGTTATTTTATGTGCTTAAAATCGATTGATTAATGATAATATTTAAAATGATTTATTTATATGTTTTTTTATATACTTAAAATGTTTACTTAATACGTAAAAGGTTTTGATGTTGGCAATATTTTTCCCGCAAAAATAAAATTCTTGTTTTTTTCAATAGAGTTACTTTTTTTAAACTACTTATTGTAAACTGTAGTGGCGCTTATTTGAAAGAAAGTAAATGCATATTTATTTATGAGAAAATTAATGCACTAAGTATTTTTTCTCTAATCTATTGTCCGCTTTGGGCCTGAAATGGGCCGTCCCCTTTAACACTTTGTTCTAAAATGTATTTCGTACCTTGGCACCGTGACGGATGGTAAGCACGGTCGTTTAAATTGAGCTTTTGCGGAAGATCGCTTCGATGGTTGTGAATCAAACGACGAAGATGTAATATCTAAAATATATAAATTATAATTAAATACCTAATTGTTTTAGAATGATCAGTTTTTTAAATATAATTTTCTTACTTGACATAGCAGGCTGAGAAGCAGATTCAGTCATTTCAACGCGGCCGGTTGCGGTGACAGTTTGCTAAAATAACGTTACATTTAAATATTCAGATCACAGAATACAATAAAATATAAAATAATCATGTTTGGGAATCGCTACCGAAGTAAAAAAAAAGATAATATTCTAATTAATTACAGCGGGAAACAGTTTTATATATTAAAACATAGTAAGATATACTAATATAAATTGCACCTGTGCTAGAAGAAACTAGGTTAACCATATATATACACATATCTATACTGCAAACGGCATAACTTTTCCTATAGATAGAGTATACAAAAATGATTAATAACACTACTGTTTTTGTGTTGGAAACATAGTAGGTATCGTTTTAGTGGTACGATATTTCGTGATGGTGTTTAAAGAACGTCAGCATTATAAATGTTAATGTCAACAGAAGCAAGCTTAGTTTCCATATTATATATTGTTTTGGTGTTTTTCAAATGTGTATATCAACGCTTGAAAGGTAATCGTGACTAAGCGACAATGCGTGAACTTTACAGTAGACTAATTTAAAGTTGAAATAACTGAAAGAAAGAAATATTTTAACGAATCTAGCTGTAATAGAATCTAGCTAGTAGCTGTAGGATTGAAATGATTTTAATAGACCTAGAAATATAAATTTTTTGCGCATCGAATATGGTTATTGCCTATCATTTATGTACAAAGCAGTTATTGTCGCTTAGTCACGTTTGCCTTTCAAGCGTCGATATGTAAATGAAGAACAGTTTAAAAGTGCGTTTTTTGTTTTTTTTGACCTTTTCAGCGTTTCGGACTCAAGGAATATCACATACTAGCATATTAGTTTCACTTTTGGTTATCATATTGAGGTAACAAAACTTTTCTGCTTTAAAAGGGGTTCCTTTGTACGGTTTAGTTATTTATTAATAAACGAAATTTTCTACAGCAATACATGAAACGTAAAGTTACTTGAGCTTCAGTATCCGATTTCTCTTTGTCTTTTTCGCCGCTCATATCGACGGCTTGTTCGTTTGTCTTACGCAGTCCAGCAATAAGGCTGGTTTGCTGTTTCTGAAACCAAAATAATAATTGACATCTTTCTAAAAGCATCTTTCTTTAAATATATTATTACCACTATAAA